CCTGCTTTGATATCAAAGGTCCCTTGGTTACTCACAGCCCGAACAAAAGCGTTTTCATCTGGTCAGTGGGCAAATCCCCTCCCCTACTCCCTAATAAAAGCAGGGCCCATTGATGTTTCAAAAAAAAAAAAAGAGAGAAGATTGTTTGATAAGCCCACAAAGGAATTTAGAAAGTAACAACCTTTATTCATTTCTTACCATTCTATCATTCATTTTACAATAAAGAAATACTGTAAAACGTGCTCAAATTCTGATTTGTATTGATGTTTCTATTTAATACTGTGAATGTCATAAGGCTCACCTGCTCATGACGCTGCTGTGATCTCTGTCGACGCAGGCTCGATCTCCTTCACAGCCTCTTCGATCACCTCAATCACCTGCGCCATCACCTCTGCACACTTTCCTGATGGAGCAGCGTTCTCGGTCTCCGGCTGGCTGGCTGATGCCTCTGTGGCTTGGCTGGGATCGACGACCTCTGCTGAAACTGTCAGCTGAGGTGCTTCAGGCAGGGTTGAGAGTTTGTTTTCACTTGCAGGACTGTCAGCTTTTGCCACAACCTCTTCTTTTACATCTGGTTCCTGAACCTGTGGGTCTTCTTCACTCTTTTCTGTCTTGCTCTGTTTAAACTCTTCATCTGCCAGACTCCCTGGCTTTATCTCCACTACTTCTTCCATGACTACAGTTTCTTCACTTACTTTTACCTCTACAGCTTGTTTCAACTCATCCTCTGGTTTCTTCTCCTTCTCCGCTGAGGCATCAAGGCTCTCTGTGACATCTACTGGGACTGTCTCAGTGACCTCCATGGCAATAGAAGGTGGCTGAGGAGCTGGCTTTTCACAGACAACAGCAACAGGGGTGTCAGTGAGAACAGGAGCCTCGGTTGTGAGCGCAATCTCTTTTTCTGTTGTTGCTATGGCCTGGACTGGTGTTAGGCTGGTGGGCTTTTTGGGTTCACATGTGTCTTCTGAAACCTTATCCATGGCATCCTGAATGACAGTCTTGGCAATGACTATGCTCTGAGCCTCAATCACAGTGGTCTGCTGCACATCGTCCTTGCTTTCTTCAATCTTCTCGCTGGTCTGCTCAACAGCTGCACTGGTGTCTAACTCTACAGTTTGAATTGTAGCAGCCTCCAAAGTCTCTACGATTTCTTCCTTGGTTTCCTGCTCGGGCTCTGACACTGATGCAATTTCCATGACCAGCACACCTGGGCTTGTAGCTTGGTCAGACTCCACACTGAGTGGGGTGACAGGGACCGCTGTCTCAATGGCTGGTTCCATCTCCTTTGTAATGGTGGTCTTTGTAATTTCACATACGGTGGAAGACACCTCTTCAGTCACAACTTGAACAGCTATATATTCTTCAGTGGCAGCAAGCTGTTCTATCTCCATTTTCACTTCCTTGGTCTCAACAGTTGGTCCAGTAACTTCTATGCTCTGGGTGCAAATGGCTGCTTCAGATGTTGCTGTAATGGGACTGACTGTTACAGCATTAGGAGAGTGCTCGCTCATGATGGTGGGCTGAACAACTTCAGGCTCCTCCAGAACAGTACTGACAACTCCAACCTTCTCAGTCTGAGGTTTCTGGCTCTCAGCTTCGGCTTGAATGTCTGCGACATCACTTTCAACAACACACTCTTCTACGGCTATTACAGGCTTCTCCAGAGCTACTTTGGCAATCTCCTCAGTGCCCAGGCCAGTGCAGGTAGCCATGGCCTCATCATGAGCATGTGGCTCCAGGATGGTATTTATCTTAAGTTCCTCGATTTCATCTGCTGCAATGTCAGTGTCAACAGACTTCGGTGTAGCAGCAGTCTCCACCTCCTCTGGGATGTCACTCAGCTGATCATGTTTATCATCTAAGGTTTCGACAGTGGCTGGGATCCATGAAGGGGATCTATCTTCAGCAGACACTTTAATTTGGATGGGAGCTGGTTCTACAGGCACTTCCTGTTCATTCTGAACTTGCTCCTCGTACTCTGAGAGAGGAACCACAGCTGGGGTGTCAGAGTCTTCTTCACCTGAGCCCACTTCGGTGGAGGCTTGCTTTTCAGCCTTCTTCTTCCTGCGTCCAGGGAAGAACTTCCTCAGGGAGAAAGACGATTCATCTTTTGGTGTTTCACCATCTGACTGGACCTGGTCTGCACTCTCCTCAGGCTTTTCCTCAGCTTTGGCCTTATTCTTTGACATAACTATGCGTTTCAGTGTGTCCCAAGCAGACTCTCGCTCAGGGGGGATACCCGAAGGTTCAGGGGAGGAAGCGGCTTCTCCTTCGCTTTCTGTATTTTGGGAAGTGACAACAGCAGCCTCACCTTTGACCTCCTGCTCTCCTTCCACTGCTGCTGGTGCTGCCTCTTCAATCTTGGTCTCTTCATCATCAGAATCAGAGGTCTGCCTTGTCCTCTTTTTAGGTCCACCCATGCACATTAGAGCCTCCCAGGAGACAGAGGTGTCCATTCTCTTTTTGGGCTCCTCGGTGCTGCTGACCAGCTTGTCATTGTTTTCAGTCTTTGGCTCTTCCTCAGCTTGCTTATCCTCCTTAGGCTCCTCAACACTCTTATCTGCTAGTGCAGCACTCTCAGAAGAGGACAGGGTGGCTGACTTGGCTGGTTTCTCACCTGTGCCTTCATCATCGCTCTCAGAAGACCTTTTCACACGCTTCTTAGGAGTTACCAGCTTCTTGAAAGAAGACCAGGCAATGATGCCCTCTTTTTTCTTCTCTCCATCAGAGGGAACTTCACCTTCAGCCTCTTGGCTAGACTCTGTCTGGGTCACCTCTGCAGTAATAGTATGCTCTCCTGACTCCTCTGGAGATGAGGGTCCACTGTCAGCTTTTGGAGCCTCCGTGGACTCGGTGAAGGACTGAAGTTGCTCGGCTGCCTGCTCTCCAGACTCAGTCAGCTTGGTCTCAGGATCTTTTTTGGTCTTCTGTTTCTTAGTTGAAAGCTTCTTCAAGCCAGCTCCAGTGAACAATTTCTTCAGGGGACTTCCCTGGGGTTTTGCCTTCTCCTGTAATGATAGCTGCTCAGCCTCAGAAGTCACCTCCACTGCTGCTTTCTCCTCTTCTGCACAAGTTTCTGCCTTTTCCGGTTCTTGTTTGGTCTCATCAATAGTAGAAGCAGGGGTTTCAACAGTGACCTCAAGTGCTGTGGCCGCCTCTGACTTTGCTTCCTCGGGCCCCTTGGGCTCTGACTTTTCTTCCTCTGTAGTAGCTGGTGTCTCCTCCTTGGACTCTAACTTTTCTTCCTCTGTAGTAGCTGGCGTCTCCTCCTTGGACTCACACTTTTCTTCCTCTCGAGTGACTGGTGCTACCTCCTTGGTTTCTTGCTCCACCTCAAGCTTCTCCTCCTTTTCTTCCACAGTAGTAGTTTCTACTGTCTTAGTTGTCTCCTCCTCAGCAGCTACATCCTTGTCTTCTTCCTCTTTTGTTTTCTTGATGCTGGTTTTCTTTCGCAGGTTAGAGAAGAGTCCTCCACTGAAGAATTTTCTGAAGGGGGACAGAGTGCTTTCTTGGGATGGTGAAATGGGCTCTCCTTCCTTCTCAGCTCCTTCCTCCTTAACAGTAGTTTCAGTGGTAGGGCCCTCGAGTTGAGCATCAGTCTTTTCAGCTTTAGCGACTTCCAGTTCAGCAGTAGATGTCTCTGTATTGGCTTCCTTTTCTTCATCTGTGCTCTTTTCCTCAACAGTGGTCACCTCCTCCTTCTTTGCAGGTTCATCAGTCCCATTGATCTCTTCTACTTCTTTATCTTTAACTGTCAGTAGCTTCACAGGGTCTTTCTCCTCACTTTTGTCTTTCTTCAGTGTGAACTTAAAGCCAACGAAGCGGAAGATCTTCTTGAAGCCCACTTCACTGGCATCATCAGCTTTTTCCTCCACTGCCTTCTCTTCAACAGTAGAGATGTCATTGGTATCAGGAGACTCTTTCTCCACTTTCTCACCATTCAGTTGAGGAACCACCTCATCCTGGATGGTTTCCATAGTCTCAGAATCCTCTTCTTTCTGAGCCACAGACACACCATCAGGCTGACCAACTGAAATGACAAGAAAAGAAGCAACTCTCAGTAAAAATTTCTCACTTGCATTTTACTATGTGTTTTCTTTCTCATGGTGTTATGTTGTTTGTTCTCCATTGCTGCTGAAACACTGAAATTTCCCCATTCAGGGATCAATACAGTACCTACCTACCTACCTTACTACATCCCTCTACAGCTCGTATTCTGCTACAGGAAGATCACCAACAATGTTCTCATGACAATCATGTAAAATGAGATTCAATTCAACAAAGTCAGGTAATAATGAGGAGCTTGAATCACTAGCCCTGACAGCATAAATCATCACCCTGTGACAAATTTTAAAAAATCTACTCTGAAGAAAAACACCATTAAAAATGACTGCTATTTTTATATCAGCAGTGAAAATCTCTGTGCCATCTGGAGATAATGAGAGATATTGGGGAGAAATAATGTGTGAGATCCTGACCCCTCTGACTTGATTTTATCAAGCAGATAACTAATTAACCGCAATCAGATTTCAATTTGGTCCACCTAAGAGAAATAAAAGTTTAGAAGCTGACAAAAAAAACAGCAATCCCCAAATGGAGATTGATGGAAATGTTGCCCAGTGAGAGCAGTGTTTTTTTGTCAGTTTGTCCCCCCAAACATAATGCATGCAGTCCTATAACACAGCCTCACCATGATGCATTGAGTGACCCACACCTAGTTTCTTTTGTTGGCCAAACTGAAACATTTATTCCATTCGGTAACTTTTTGGTAGTTATACAAACGTACACCAAATGACGCATTACCAGATGAGATAAGAGACAAAAACCACACATACAATGTCTGTCTTCCACATCTATCTGTGTTTTGACAGAAGAAATCACAGGGGGATGACAACCTGCCAGGGGCTGAAGCTTTTCTCCTGTGTTTCTTTTCCTTTCTTCTCAGATTTCACTGCAGTCTGGAAAGCCTCAAATCTGATACCCCTGGACTCACAAAACAAATGATCAGGACTTTTAATTCTTAAAGGATTTACCCATAATACACACTTGGAAACATGAAAATGTATACACACTCCTTAAAACCATGCACACTGTGGGACTGCTGAGGGGACAAGCCCTACTTTTTCCCTATAATGGTCACTAGGTAATAATGCTATTGCGTTTAGCAAAAGGTTTTACTCAGTTACATCTATCGATCAGGTGAATTATTAAATGTCAGTTTTTCTATTGTAAAGCTGTAATATCCTAGGAATGCAGTGCTACGGAGTGAAGCTTCATGCCTGTAATTTAGGAAGAGGACGTGGACAAATGTAGGCACACAGTCTTACATTTTTGTGTGTGAGACAATAAAACATTTAAGAAAAGAGGACAAAATACCCAGCTGTTTGTTTAGCTCTTCTTCATACTCTTTTGGATTTATTTTGAATTAAAAATGAAGTTGAACTGTATAGTAGCTGTATAATATTTTGACATATGATTTCATCACAAACTTGCCCATATCTTATGTACAGATTTGTCCTGAGAGGAATGTGAGCCAAGCTGCTCTCTCTTGAGTTTGAGAAAATTAATTTGGGATGTTCTAAACATAACCTGAATTTAAATGCCAGGGGACTTCAAGAATGTCTTTCAGTTGCATCTCAACTGTCCCATTGTTGGGTTCAAGCCAAACAATAAAGGACCCTACACACCCAGTCCTTAAACCACAACCCAATCCCCTTGACCCAAATTCCACCACAGCAGGATGGATGGGGACCCACCCCGTTCCCAAGGCGCACACTAATGCACACACAATAGCATTCTAACCTTCTCTGGTCTATGAAAACATAGGAAGAGGGGTGGGGGGTGGCGGTGGTCAACTTTCCTATTATCAAGACACTGCAGCTTGGAGGAAGTGTCAAATTTGGAGTTTGCTGACTTTACCAAACTCATCTAAACATGAATAAACAACAGGATTGAGCAACTTATAAAATACACAAATGTCACGTAGCACTGAGGTCTGTCTCACATAAGTGTTATTTTCAGGGAAGTTCCAGTCACATTGTTGTTAAGCAAACAAAGTAAAGGCACATCAAGCAAATGTTAATCTAATATGAAGCCTAAAGTGACACAAATTCAGTTTGACTACACCTGAAAATCTGTTAGTGTACATAATTTACACCAGTTCCTCTAAGTTGTTTTCAGTGAAGTACACTAGAGTTTTTCAGTGAAGACATCTCTGTGTGTGTGTGTGTGTGTTCTGAGTGGAGGAGGGGTCAGGCTGTTAGTAAGCCAGATGAGGCCGTGAGTACCTACATGGATAATGAAACAGGAACCATGTTGATTTAACAGACTACTGGCATCTCTTCTGTCTTTTTGATCTCTGTCTTCCGGACCCAACTGTTAACATCCCTAGACTGACAGACAGGAGTAACTGTGTGGGGGAGGTGTTTTGCATAACGACTGCGCCGAATAGAATGAGAGTGTGAGGGGTGATGCTGCAGGGGGTGAGGAGGGGATAAGACATGGAAGGGCAGTGTTGTGGGGGAGGACGGTCTGCCCTGAGACCGCTGCCCTAACTCACATCAGAGGGTGTTACACGTCTCAGACATGCACATAGCTGAAACGCTTCTGTCTGCTGGAGACGCGTGTGAGTGTGGGAGTGTGCGGTAATACCATGCACTCATATTAAATATCATGGCTGCAGCCAGAAACCGTACATCTACTCTAGTCTCCAGCGAGATGGGATTATATTTCTGTTGTGGCTGCATTACTGTGGGTTTGTGTGTTGTGGGGTGTTGAGAAAGTGAATGGCAGACACTGTGTAGAAACTTTGCCAAATATATGCAAATCCTAGTTATAATTACTGTCTACTATTGTGGAGCAGAAGCTTATTATACAAAAGAAGTCAGTTAAAAAGAGGGCAAGGAGAAACCCCACACCCTCCCCCAACAGGACCCCTTCAAACACCCTCACTCTGTATCAAAGGTGTGGTCAGAGTATTTCTGGGACTCCAGGGAGCCCTACACATCAACAGCCATAGCACTGTTAATACCCACTGCTGCATCAATTGACTTGCTGTTATCTAATTATCAAGTCAAATTCTGCTGTGACCGTATGCACTATCACCCAGTAAACATCATAAAAAATGAATGCTCATCTATCAGTATCAATGTTTTGTACAAAACTAAAAGCTCGGCATCAAGCACAACATCCTAGCCCTGCTCCATTTCAGCAATCACTCCCCATTACAAGACCTGAAGAAGAAATGGTTTTGCCATGTAATTAATT